ATTTAGAATTGAATTATCTGCTTATTTCTTAATAATTTGAATACTGCTAGAGCAAATTGGCCCTATATTTCTGCTGCACTCCATGTTCCTCCTTCATTTCCATGCATGGACAGAAAGAAAGGTATTGTTTTTCTTCCATGCTGAGACATGGTAGTCGCTTGCCATCAACCCAGATGGGATCCTTCTTGGACCAAGTAGTCTCTGGGCTTTTGAGGTCTCCTAACAATCTAATTACCCCAAAGCTTCTTATCTAGTCTTTCTTCCATCTCTTTACGTCCTTCCCTTCTCTACTATCCTCTCTCCCAAATAAAAAGAAAATCAACCTTACTTTACTTTGATTTTAAAACTACAAGTTATGCAAGATACTTTGATGTGAAGAAAGGGCTCAGATAAAACCATTCAAACCATGACAGTTGATCCAACTCCAAAAAAGACTTTTGAAAATCACTCTGCAGAGCCATATAGAACTGGTGCCAGGTTTATACTGAGTGATAATCACTGGTTCTGCTGAAATAAAAAAAAGGAAGTCTTTTCATGTAAAATGCTTAGATGTAAATATTTTAAGTGTCTTATACTTTTTCTGAACCCAGTAAAACTGACTTATAAGTCTGGATTATTTGGTGTTACTCATCTTTAATAATAGTATAGCCAGTTATTTTTACAGAGAATCAATATTTATGATAATACCTTGCATTTCACTTAACAGGGTAAGTCTTATCCTCATTTTGTAAATAACAATCCCCCATGTAAAAGGTTGAAGGCCACTGAACTCTGTTTACAAATGGGAAAGCCCAAAGGAATTGACTCACCAACTACAAAATTGAATGAGAAGGACAAGTGTCCAGTTATACACTTATGTAATTTATTATTCATGCACAAGACCAGTGTCCCTATAAGGGTTGGTAAGCAGTCAGGATATTAATACTGGTTCACCAGGCTGAATTTTTGTTTTATTAATGTTTATTCAGTGATAATACCTAATTCTTTTTATAGGTCTTATTCACTCTGGTAGAATTTATTTGACATGGCAAGGGCGCCTAGGTTTTACATCTGTACTTCTCAAACTATCTGTGAGAAAGGATCAGTTTTCCCCCTAATCAGTTTTGAGACAATACTTAAGTAAATAAAATAGAAATAAACTACTAAAAATAAATAAATTTAAAAATCATGCCTTTAGTTGTTTCAGCACTATCAAATTGTCCTAAAGGATTTCACATGGTTACTTTCAAGTACTTGCAGACTAGTTTTTTAAAAACCTTTATTTTTTAAATAGGTTTTTTATTAATTTCAGACGGAGGAAGGGAGAGGGAGAGAGAAATAGAAACATTGATCGTTTGCCGCTTGCATGCCTCCTACTGGGGATCCAGCCCGCAACACAGGCATGTGCCCTGATAGGGAATTGAGCCAGCAACCTCCTGTTGCATGGGCTGACATTTAACCAACTAAGCCACACCAGCCGGGTCAGACTATTTTGTTGTTTTTTTTAAAAAGGCGCTCAGACTAGCACTGGTCCTTTCTGAATAGCATATATGGAAATTCTTGCCCTAACAGAACAGAGGAGTTTTAAACCACTGTTTGAGTACCATTGCACCAGTACCATTGCTTATTTCTGTCACAAACAGAAAAAAGAACCTAGGCTTCCCTTTTTTCCCTTTGATGATTCTATCTCCCTTCAATCAGGTTATCCAAGGATACACTAAAAATGATAGCTACTCCTAGCATGGAGCTCACAGATTCATTAGGTTGCTGAGAAACTCAACTTTGTTTCTTGCTGCAATTTCACCACTTATGAACATGATGGTGTTATATAATCTTGTTCAAAAATGAGTGATAGCTTTTTGGGAAATAACTTGGTGGCACATCCTATAGCCTGGATTCAGGGGGCATCCTCTCAGGGGGACTCCAGTTTGAATATGTAATGCAGATATTTGTCCTGTTCCCGAGCACATTTGTTTACAATGATGTTATGTGCACCTTCTATGTTAGTATAAATTGCTACTTCTCTTACCACTGTAAATGAAACATTTCTTTTATGACTCAGGCTACCAACAATGTTCAAATGTTCAGAGTCTTGCTTACCTGGACCTCTTCCACCAGAAATAAGTGGTTTAGCATAACAATCTCCATTTTAGCAGAAACAGCTACTCTGAACTGAAAGAGAGTCTGAAAGGTAGTGGTTTCAGAAATAGCAGCAGGTCAGGAGAAAAGAGAAACCATATGGGACTGCTGGGTACTACTGGGTGATGGAGAGGAGATGCCTCAGGTAGGTGTGATCAGTTGCTATGGTTTCTAAGGCCAATTTTAATACCAGAGGCTGGCACCTGTTGAAGTACATTATCAACATGCAGATTTAGGTGCAGGCTTCCTGGGAAGAACTTGAGGAAGAAATGACTGTATGGTGCTCAGGTTGGGTTTCAGCCTGAGAAACAATCCAGAGTGAAAGGCTCTGTAAAAAAACAATCGAGAGAGTGGATTTCATGGTAAAAGAAAAATGATGTAGAAGAGGATATTTCCGTGCTCTGGAGACCAGCCCTGTTCAGGAGTTCTACTCCTCCTATCACACACTCAGTGTGCTCCCTGGAAAATGGCATCACGCAACGACAGTCACTGTGCTCAGTGAACTTGGAGTCAGAATTTCTGGGTGCAAGTCCTGGACCCCACATTACCATCTTGGCAACCTTAACAAGCCATCTCACCTTTCTTCACCTCTGGTTTCTCATCTGTTAAACATTCACTGAATTCTGGAAGCTACTATGAGGTTCAAATGAGATAATCTAAATAAAATCACAATTTAAAATTTCTCTATCTACAACACCAACACTCTCCCTTGCTTACCCTATTCCCCTGCCCCCAAGAAAACCAATCTAAGGTAGACCACTGGCTACAAATGACACTTTTTTAAAAAATGGCTAATGCAGGACTCCAGGATCATCCAGAGTCACCATGTACCCCCATCATTATGTTCAGTATTCTGAGCAGATAGCTGCATGAGAGCATTTGATCTGAAGAGTGATTTTATCTACAGGATGAGAGGAGGACATCTGTGTTTGACAATTTATGTAAGAATGGACACCCACGTGCACACACACACGTACACGTTATGTAAAATGATAAGAGTGCTAGGAGGTAGCCTTATAAGGACTAGCTTATAATTATCAGAGCTTTCTTTTTTAAGTAATTTAAATAAATGACAAGTTTCTCCTTACAATCAAACTCGTTGTCATGGTTCAGACCATAGGATTGTGGTCCAGAGAGAATTTTATATCAGAAGGCTAAGTAGAACTGCCTATGAGAGAGAATTTTATATTGCAGAAGTAGTACAATTCCCATTATCCTGCTTCCCCTAATGTAACATCTAACGTAAGCATAGTACAGTTGTTAAAACCAAGAAACTAAGATTGATACCATACTATTAACTAATCTAGAGGCCCTATTCAAATTTGCCAGTTTTCCCACTAATGTCCTTTTTGTGGTCTAGAATTTCACATTATGTTTATATGTCCTGTTTTCTTAGTTCCCTCTAATCTATAACTATTCTTTGTCTTTTAAAAATATATATTTCCCAACTTTACAGTTGGAAGAGTACTAGCCACTATTTTGTAGAATGCTCTTTAATTTTGGTTTGTCTGGTGTTTTCTCATGATTAGATTGAGGTTATAAATTTTTGACAAGAAAACCACAAAAGGAATGATGTGCCTGCCTCAGTGACTATAGCGGTAGGTATGTGATGATACTTATCACTGGTGATGTTAGCTTTGATCACTTGGTTAAAGTGATGTCTGCTAGGTTTCTCCATTATAAACTTATGATTTTTCTCTTTGCAATTAATAAGTATCTTCTTTTGTTGCTTTCTTAAAATGATGGTTAAGGTTGGAGCAAGTGTCATTCACAGAAGGTTGTAAAGAGCCATCCTGGTGGAAAGAAGCTGTGCCCTAGAAAATGATGGAGTCATTATTTAAGTGTTTGAATAGATTTCTTTCAATCCATGCTGAAATGGATTGCCTGACATTACATTGCAGGATTTTTAAGTCCTACCTCCAGGCAAATCTCATAGTTACTGGCAAAAATGAAAGTGTGAAATGCTTTTTAATGTATATTTAACAACACATAGTCTGGTGATTACTGATGTGTATTCTCTGTGGACTCCGTTTGCTATCAGAGGAGGATGTTAAGAGACAACATTTTTACACATTTATTCTATCTAAATCCATCACAGATTTACTTTCTAAATATCTGTAACTGTCATTTTTAACAGGATCATAAAAATCAAATACTTTAATTCTAACTCAAACTTTGAATCATAGGATTACAATCAGTTTTCTGGAAAAGAACAATTACTGTTTTTTTCTTACTCTACCTTATGAAATTGCCCACTATTAAATGATACTAGAATATAACCATTAAAAAAGAAAAATATAAATAGCTTAGTAATGGAGTATAGGAGGTAATATTACTTTATTCATCCTTTTGATTTAGAAATTCACATAATAGCTCCTATTTAAAGGAATTTTCATTATTGAATCGAGTGTCATGTCTGCTTGTGTTAAAGAAATAAAATTCACAAAATGTACTTAATTCCTTCCTACGGTGTCATTATTTAATAAGGATTAAGGTACCATTTTTTGCATTTTTACTGGGTTGCACAGCAAGAGTTCACGTCTTGTACTAATGTATGCTAAATAGTTGCATAGTATATAGACCACTGTTGTTAAAATAGCAGTAGTGAAGGCATTTTAGATCACAGAGCCCCAGTGGCCTACATTTTGTTTGTTTTGACATTGTTAAACTCAATCTGTTTCCCTAACTGTGACTCTAATTACTACATTTGCATGGCAGAAAAGTTTGCTTGGTGGGTCGACTTTTATTAACAGTGTCTGCATGTTGTTTTCTGCTCTCGGTGTTTCATGAGCAGACAGAGCACCTTCAGTTACACTGAATAATTATACACAATCAATAAGTTTCTGTGTTTGTCTTTGTTGTTTCTTTGATGTGGCCTCTAGGATGCTGCCGGCAAGGTGCTGGACCGCTGGGCCATCATGTCTCGAGAAGAGGAAATCATCACCCTTCAGCAGTTTCTGCGGTTTGGAGAAACCAAATCCATTGTAGAGCTGATGGCAATTCAGGAGAAAGAAGGGCAGGCTGTGGCTGTACCGTCTTCAAAGACAGACTCAGACATAAGGACTTTCATTGAGAGCAATAATCGCACCAGGAGTCCCAGCCTCCTTGCTCACCTAGAGAATAGCAACCCTTCCAGCATTCATCACTTCGAAAACATCCCCAACAGCCTTGCATTTCTGCTTCCATTCCAGTACATAAACCCAGTCTCAGCCCCACTGCTAGGATTGCCTCCAAATGGGCTACTGTTAGAGCAACCAGGACTGAGGCTGCGGGAACCAAGCCTTTCAACCCAGAATGAATATAATGAGAGCAGCGAATCTGAAGTATCTCCCACACCTTATAAGAATGATCAGACCCCCAATAGAAACGCCTTGACCAGCATTACTAATGTGGAGCCCAAAACCGAGCCACCCTGCGTGTCCCCCATTCAGAATTCTGGCCCGGTCAGTGATCTGACCAAAACTGAACACCCGAAAAGCTCTTTCCGAATTCACCGGATGAGAAGGATGGGGTCAGCGTCTAGGAAAGGAAGAGTGTTCTGCAATGCATGTGGGAAGACATTCTATGATAAAGGTACTCTCAAAATTCATTATAATGCTGTTCACCTGAAGATTAAACATCGATGCACCATTGAAGGTTGCAACATGGTCTTTAGCTCCCTCCGAAGCCGCAATCGCCACAGTGCAAACCCTAACCCTCGCCTTCACATGCCTATGCTAAGGAATAACCGAGACAAAGATTTAATTCGGGCCACATCAGGGGCTGCCACCCCCGTCATAGCAAGTACAAAATCAAATCTCACACTCACCAGCCCTGGCCGGCCCCCAATGGGTTTTACCACTCCCCCGCTAGACCCTGTCTTACAGAATCCTCTCCCTAGCCAGCTGGTGTTTTCTGGGCTAAAGACTGTCCAGCCAGTTCCTCCATTTTATAGAAGTTTACTCACTCCAGGAGAAATGGTGAGCCCTCCCACCTCCCTCCCGACCAGTCCCCTCATTCCAACCAGTGGTACCATAGAGCAGCACCCCGCACCACCATCTGAGCCAGCAGCGCCAGTAGTGATGATGGCCACTCATGAGCCCAGTGCCGACCTGGCCCCTAAGAAGAAGCCCAGGAAGTCCAGCATGCCTGTGAAGATCGAGAAGGAAATCATTGATACCGCCGATGAGTTTGACGATGAAGATGATGACCCCAATGACGCTGGAGCTGTGGTCAATGACGTGAGCCACGACAATCATTGCCACTCCCAAGAGGAGATGAGTCCAGGCATGTCTGTGAAGGACTTTTCTAAGCACAGCAGGTCCCGGTGCATTTCAAGGACTGAAATAAGAAGGGCCGACAGCATGACTTCCGAGGATCAAGAACCTGAGCGGGACTATGAGAACGAGTCAGAGTCTTCAGAGCCCAAACTAGGTGAGGAATCCATGGAAGGGGATGAGCACATTCACAGCGAAGTGAGCGAAAAGGTCCTGATGAACAGCGAGAGGCCTGATGAGAACCACAGTGAGCCCTCTCACCAAGACATCATCAAGGTGAAGGAAGAATTTACAGATCCCACTTACGACATGTTTTACATGAGCCAGTATGGACTGTACAATGGCGGGGGAGCCAGCATGGCGGCCCTGCACGAAAGTTTTGCATCGTCTCTGAATTATGGCAGCCCTCAGAAGTTCTCCCCAGAAGGTGACCTGTGTTCTAGCCCAGACCCCAAAATCTGTTATGTGTGCAAGAAGAGTTTCAAAAGCTCCTACAGTGTGAAGCTTCACTACAGGAACGTTCACTTAAAAGAGATGCACGTCTGCACAGTGGCTGGCTGCAACGCTGCCTTCCCCTCCCGCCGGAGCAGAGACAGGTCAGTAAATCTCCATTGGCTGCTCCTGCTGGGGGTGGAGGGTGCCGGTCATGTTGGCCTTAACATTAAGAAATCCAACTTAGATGTTTTGATGCACTGTAAAGATTGTCCACAGTGACCACAAGATAACCAAGCTGCCATGCTCATGAAGGATTGTTGCAGTCGGTGCTTGTTATGATTAAGCATGCAGAATCATTATGCCATCTTACCCAGTAATGCACGCCATTTTCTCTGTGCTCTGTTATGTGTGTGTGTGTACGTTTTTCCATGCATCTAGGTGTGTGAGTCTGTTAACTGTGTACACAGTTCCCTGCTTCCCCATGAACCTTCACTTAGAAGCCGCAGCTTCTGTTATAAATATTTCTGCTTTGCCTTGTGGCTTTTTGATTAAATCAATATATTATCTTCATACACACATATTTATCCAATATAGAAACAGAAATTTACGGATGGAAAGAACCATAGGTCCAGGACATCGAGACAGCCTGCATCTCCGTAGGTATAACCAGAAATGTTATCGTTGTTACATGAGTATTTAGTATGTCCTTGAATTCTTTGAGTCATGAAAATATCAGAAGAAAATGGGACCAAAGTAATTGTTAATATGGGGAAATGGTATGGTGGTGTGGGTTTCTTTATTTTAGCTTCACAGTGTCTTTGAGCACATCTCTAAAACATAATCTATCTTGGGAATTATGCACAGAAGGGGAGGCATGCATATACTTTTAGGAGCAGTTAGAATATATTATGTCCAGCCTTCAGATGATATCACACCTTAGCTATGTGGCTGCAGCTCTGAAACAGTTGGGCTTAAACAGAAGCAGCTGGTCCTAAACCTACAATGTTCTTTTTCAGTCCTAAAGAAAATGTAATATAAGTGGAATGTGTCAAGGTGGTCAGTGGTGGGGTACCACAGTTACCCTGCCCTCAGGGAGATAAGCTGTGAGCAGATCATTTACATAACACACCAGCCCAACTAGAGACACACCAGTTAAGTCTTCCTGTTATTATACTGGATGTAGTTTTTTTAGTTTTACATTGTCTTTTTAAAATATTTTTATAGACAGTTTTATTACATGCTAAAAGTCAATATATGTAGAAGAAACAAAATAAACTAGGAAATTTGCTTAATAGCCACCACCCAAATTGTAGTGCCTATCAATTAGGTAGAGTTCTTTGACAAAGTAACATATAATAAAAGTACCACTGAAAAGTAGTGACCTGCCTCTGGAATACTCTGTTTTGTCTTCATATTTAAAAGATTAGTGTTTTTAAAATAAAAGTTAAAATGTGTTTTCATTGTATTGAAGTACAACTCAAGGGACCCAATTCATGAAAAGCAAAATTTCTGAGAAAAATAAGTTGCTTACTTTAATACAACTCAAAGCATGCTTTGAAGAGAAACCTATCTTCTTAAAGATTTCCCCTCCCTAGCCCCCTCTTCCCCACTCTCATTTACCTTTTTCTGTAAAAATGGTTTATGATCACAAAGTTATTTTCAGTTCCAAGGTATCATGGACAATCCCAGAATATGGCAGATAAGATAGCTACAGTACTTTGAATAATAAAATATAATATGGTACCCAACCTCTTCCTCCCCAAGTTTATGAGTAATGTTCATTCTTTTAAATTTGAAATAGTGCACTAGTGATAATGAGGTTAATGCACTGGATTTTTTTTAAACAAAAATAAAAGACTCATGAAAACCTGCATAAAATATTTATGGAAACGAGTGTTTGAAGACAAGCCAAACTTTAAGCTTATTTGCATGAATTCTTATCACTGTCTTAGTTGGTTTGCTGAAAAATCATAACACTGGAATAAAATTACTCTGGAACCAAAGGGCTACAACACCCAAAGCTTGGTTCTTTCCTTTGTGTCACTGTGTTTTTATGCCCTAATGCACAAGTAGATACTCTTGAGCAGGTGGTTTGTCTGAGGAAAAAACATTTATTGCTAGGGGAATATTTTAATCTCCATTTTTCTAAGGATTGGGAGTTTGGTGAGTAACCAGCCTTGTGGGAATTCAGGCCAGTGTCTAGGATAACTAGTACATTCTAGGTGAAAAGAATAGTACTGGTAGTCTCCCATGTGTATTCAGTCATCTAGGAAATGGCAGACCTCACACAACAAGTGATACATTTCATTTGGCTGAAATATCCCATCACACCTAATCTTTTTAATTCTGGATATTGTCACACACGATCAATGAAGAAAATTAAAAAGAAAAAAAAAACTGTACAAAGCAAGTTTTTTGATTCTCGCTTGAAATTTTGCTTTTCAAGAATACTCAGATATTTTGATCCCTTGTTAAAAACTTAACAAAAACTCTGACACTTTAATTTTGATGTATTCTGATGTATTTTTTCTTTAGAAAGAAAGGTATTCATCCCTGTTGAGTCTATGACTTGAATTAATATACAATACAAGTATATTTACCACCAAATAACCAGAAACAGTGGTGCCATTTGGGCAGCAGGCTATTCCTGGATCTCAGCAGATTGGACTTAAACATAATTGTATTCCTGTTTCATTCAGTCTTTTATCATCATTTCACCAACTAATATCAACCCGTAATTTAATCTCCTTATTCACAAAGCCTTTTGAATCACATCTCTGATATACCCGCTTAGACTTACCTTCCCTTTCTCTTCACTTTCCCTGCATTAGTCACCAGAACCCCAGGAATTTTGTGTCCCTGGTTTTTCCTCTGCAGTGAAGCCAAGACAGGTTTTCATACTTTTTTTTGAGCCAACAGACCTTCCCAAACAGAAACTATCGTTTGCCTTTAATCCTGCTGTCCTCGGGCCCATTTCTTTCCTCTCCCCAGAGTTTTGATTCATCCATCCTTGACTGCACAAAGTCTTCCTTGTGCAAATAAAGCATTAGAGGGGATTTGGACTGGGGGCTGGAGTGTGCAAGGTTATGAGGTTTCTAGGATGCCTGTTGATAAAACTAACAGTATAACCCCTTCCCTTCTCTTCATAAAAGCAGCCTTCTTGTCTTTGGGCTTAGAACACCTTATAGGAGGAGCATAGACATCTTCTTGGGCTTCTTCCAAGATGGTTATACACGAGGGAGTTGCATTTTTGTCTCTAGGTAGTCATGTTAGTAAGATGAAAGTAGAAAGATGTTAAATACTGTGTTTTAGATTTGGCAGCTAGTTAACAGAGATTTCCAGGTTTTTACTTATGATCTTTCTAGATTGTATAAGATCAAGTTGAAGGCTTTTTGATAAGCAGGAATGTTCTTTGTCTAAAGTCAGAGAGAGAGAGAACGGGGCACACACAAGGTTTGTGACAGCTGAGGGTTCTAAGCATCCTTCCTCACGCTATCATTAATGAGTGTGAGTTTAAGAAATTCGAAGGCAAAGAGAAGCATTCCAGACTAACAACAAAGAACAAGCTAATAAACACAAAATCTAATTCATTCGGTCAGTAAGTGGCTGTTAGAACAATGTAAGTTATTTTGTCTCAAAAGAACTAGGATACTATAAGATGTAGTAACACTATGTAGTGTTAGTCCTAAAAGTCACTAAACACCCTTCCTTCTTGTTTATCTCATGATGTTTTATGCTACTAAGATGCTGTTCTGTCAGGGAGCTGGAGGTTGGCCCTCAGTTTTGAAGGATGCACATGAAACACTCCCTGGGAAGCAGTAATTATAACTATCTGGCCTAGAACCCTAGTCTTCCTACAGGCAATTTTCTAGAAGACATTGTCTAGAGTTAGCTGGGTCTCACTTGCCTATGGTTACATTCTCATCTTCTGTCTTGAATTTTGATCTCCAAGAGGGCTGAGTGACCATGGATCACCTGTATTTATTTAAGGGAAGCCCATTCATAAATTGCATTTGGTTTATATTCAGAGAGTAAGTAAATAAATAAATACCCTCTGTCTTCTTCGTCCCTAAAATTTCTTATCATTTGTTAATATGTTAAAATCTATTTATTTCTGCTTTAGTGATTGGCAATTTTTAAACTCCCTCAGCTGAAAGGAAGATTTTCTATACAGAAAGTAGGTGATCTGCATAGAAAGGAGTATGTGTCTCTTTGTTTTTCATGTTAACATGATTTTCACTATCTTTGTTCCTCTCTTCCTCGGAGAACAGTAGCCAATAATTGCCAAAGTCTGTCTTAAATTTTATCAGAAAGGTACATGTACATGTTTGATCTTCAGGGTGTAGAAAAGGTGATTCAGCTCCATGAATAAATTTTAAAACAAAATAATATTTGCTTTGGGTGATTTATAAATAAATATGAGGCAACCATTGGTGCCAAGTGTGAACCTTCTCTTTGATTGCTGGTTAAATCCGTCCAGATTTAAACATGTAAACTTCTTGATTTGTATGGAGTAAGACATCTGTATTTGGTTTATTAAAACCTGCTGATGTCTCCAGAACTAAATTTGTTCATATATAGGCCTCTGGGTAGCTGTAGTTAAAAAACAGAGATGTATAGTTTTTGCTTGTCTGATTACCTGACTTCCAGCCCTGTACAGGTGTGCAGGAATAAATTAACATGAGCTACCTCTGCTGAGCCACCGCATACATTAACAACAGAGGTGAAGATGCAAAAACATGCTACCTGCCTCCTGTTATCACCTTCTCAGCAGCAACATCCATTTTTTTTCCATCATTCTCTATGTTTGGAAACTTAACAGAGAACTTTTCTGAGAGATTTTCAATAAATACACATAATTCCACTAGGCAGCACCTCCAAGAAATGAGCCACTTAACACCAATTCAAGATAACTATTAGTGTATTTGTCCTAATATAATTAGCTGTCAAATACAATATGTTAATCCTTTCCAAGTACAAGATGAGAACATTTTAAAAGTATCAGCCATTTATTTCATTTCCCATATATTTGCCAATCAAACTGTAACTCTCCTTTCCCACCATTCTTTATGAAGTGCGGTTGTGCAGTTCCTCTGACTTCTAAATGTTAAGGAAGAGATTTTTTTTTTTCGGTGTTACTGTTTGGTTTCACAGTAGAGCCAACAGATCAATAGGTCTTTTGTACTTATTTCCATTACTTTCCATCAAAGGCAAACAAACAAAATAAATCCCCCTTCTGAGTAATTGCTAGTTGTGCCTTCCTCAAGCGAAACTTTGGTAGTAAGATAAACTTCCGTGTCATTCCTGTCTCTGGGGTTCTTTTTAGATACTGGGAGAAGAGCAGTGAGCAAAAACAGTCTCCTGGTATCACAGGGAGAGACTCTGTCAAGCCTGAAGTGAGCCTCCTATCTTCCTAATGACCTCCTGCTGGCCCAGCTGGATGTAAGACAAGCTCATTTAAGCCTCTGCTGACCTTTCACTCCTCCACTCCCAGAACTACACCAGTCACTTCCACCAGGCTGCCTACCAAACAGACAACAGAGCTTAGTGGCAGGCGGATGACTTCCTTTTCATGATACAAAGAGATTTTTACAAATTTCTATTGATGGGAGTTACAGTAAATCTCTTGTGGCTACATAACTTCCATTGCACAAACATAA